GCAGCCAGCACTTGGAGCACCTAAATGCAGAAAGCAAATACTAACGGATCTGATATCTCACCTTCATCAATAGATAGATCATCCAGAGAGAAAATCAATAAGGAAACACTGGTCTTAAAAGATGCAGTAGACTGGCTGGATTTAGCAGAAATACACAGAATATTCTATCTAAAAGCAACAATACAAATGCTTCTCAAGTGTACCTGGAACATTCTCCAGGATAGATGTTAGCCCACAAACAAGTCTTAACAAATTGAAGAAGACTGAAATCATATTAACATCTTTTCTGACCACAATGATATGAAACAAAAAATCAATCACAAGGGAAAAAAAACTGGAAAATTCACAACTATGGAAAATTCACAACTATGATGATTATTAACCAACATGCTCCTGAACTACCAATGAGTCAAAGAAGAAATCGAATTAGAAATAAAAATGTATGAGGCCAGGTGGATATGAGATTTATCGGGATGATCACTTAGTTAAGTTATAGAATGTCTCATCACTGGGTTGTATACCTGAAACTAATATAATACTGTATGTCGACTCAATTAAAAAATTTTTAAATGATTTTTTAAAAAACTAGGACTAACAATTCCAAATGCTGGTAAGTATGTTAGACCTCTAACACACTGCTGATGCAAGTATGAAATAGCACAATCGTTTTAGGAAAACCATCTGGCCAGTAACTAGCCAAAAACTAAACAGACTAAACTAAACCTACCTGCTCTTATGACCCAGCAACTCCAAACCTAGGTATTTACCCGTGAGAAATAAAAGCATATGCCGACAAAAAACCACCTGTATGAGAATGTTCCTACCAGCTTTACTCATTACATCCCCAAACTGGAAACAGTTGGGCTATCTACCAACAGGAGCCATGTGGTATATTCAAACAGGGGAATACTACTCAGGACTATAGACATGAGCTACTGATACGAACAACAACATACATGAATCTTAAAAATCCCATGCTGTGCGACAGAATCCTTCACAAAGGAATACTACTCTATGACTCTATTTGCAAATCAAATATACAGAGGAACAAATTAAAACTGTGATTTCTAGGGGCAAGTGGGGGCAGGGATTGAGTGGGAAGAAGTGTGAGGGAACTTTCTGGGGTGACAGTAATGTTTTATATCACAGTAGGGGTTTGAGTCCCCCCAGGGTGCACATTTGTTAAAGGTCAACGACTGTACACTTAAGATTTTTACTAAATGTAAATTTTCCACCAAAAGGAAGAAAACTCTAAACACAAATCTATCTCTGATTTATGATATGCTTGCTGAACTAGTGGGGAGAAGGAAAGTATTTGAAATGCCTCAAAAATTAGGTGGCTTAACAAATAGAGAAACACATGAATGGATAAATTGTGATAAAGCAAATAAAAAAAATGTTGACCCAGCTGGTGTGGCTCAGTTGGTTGCGCATCGTCCCGTGAACCCAAAGGTTACTGGTTCAATGCCCGGTCAGGGCACAGGCCCGGGTTGCAGGTTCGGTCCCCTAGGATGTGTACAGAAGGCAACTGATTGATGTTTCCCACCCTCTCCTTCTCCCTCCCTTCCCGTCTCTCTAAAAATCAAAAAGAAAAGAAAATGTTAATGGTGAAATCTAGGTGGTAAGTATACAGGGATTATTATAAAATTCTTCCAACTTTGCTTTATATTTGGAAAACTTTTATGTAATGTCTAAAAAAGTTCAGTGCATATATTTTTAAAATTTGTGTATTTTATTGTATTTAAATTTTACATCAAAAGAAAAAACTAAACAAATTTAACTCTGGTTAATAACAAACATGCTGAAAAATTAGGTTGTATGCAGTTGTCTTTGAAATGTGTAAAAAAATTAAAATGGATTAATGAGTGGGTAGAAGGATAGACAGGAAGTGATGGATTAGTGATAATACGGGAATAGTAAAATGTTAGTGGTAGAACATCTGGTGTTCTTGCTGCAAAAGTGTTTTTGCTGCAAAACTCTTATTTTTTATGCATGTTTGAAATTTTTCAAAATAAATTATTGGGGGGAAAACTCAGTGCGGACAAAGATCCTCTATTACTAACAAGAAAAATAGATATTGGTAACAATTCGCAGCCTGCCTCAGTGGGTAATGTTTACTTGCCCACCGAGGTGGTCCATTTTTCCCCACTGCACCTTCTCTGAGTGAAATTCTGTCCTTAGAAAGTCATACCTTGGATCCTTAATGTAATTGAGACAGCCCGATCATTCCTTCTCCTTTGGCTTCTTTTCCAAGAACCCCAGGCCTGGGCATTATTCTGTTCTCTCCCTAAGTGATCACATTCATCCCGGGATGCTCACGACCAGCATGCACCTGGCTCCCACACCCAGCACTGACCGACCTCAGGCTTCAAAACCAAAACTGTCTTTGCTCCTAAACCCATTTCACTTCCTATCTCCATTTCTGTTATTATTGCTGTCAGTCTTCCTAGGACACCAATTTCATTCACTCATGCATTTCATTTATTCAACGGATAATTAAGTTTGACTTTGAAATGCTTCTGCTAGAAGGTGTTGAACAAAACAGATCCCTGTTCTTGTGAGGCTTACAGGTTTATTACCATCTAGTTGTTTAATCCCTCCTTTTCCCTTTGCAGGTTTAATGGACAGAGAAGTAATACTCATTTTATCTTGATTCCTTCCAGGCCCACCTTTCTTCCCCAGCAGCACCTGGAGCCGTGCCAGGGTTCCAGGGCCTGGAATAAGGGGATGGGGAGGGAGGTACCATCAATTGTCACCCAGGTTACCATTGGACATACCCATCTATCTCTCCTATTTGCATGGCCCCTTCAGGCCCAGTGGCTTCATGCTTCTGTGCCCTGCGTAGGGCATTCAAGTCTTTCCTGAGGCAGCCTCTTCTCCCAGTTCACCTGGGACAGCCCTGATTTGTGCTCACTGCCCCAGCGTAATCACCAGTGGTGCCCCCTGCCACTGTCATGTGTGTCTTGCTTTGGTCAACACATTAGAAGAGGGTGGTTAGCCTGCTCCAACCCACACACAGCTGTTTCTAATCTGCAGGCATGCCGCGCTTTACTGAGCTTCACCAGTGTTGCATTCTTAACAAACAAAAGGCAAGACCCTCCTCCAGCAAAAAGATTATGCCTCACTTTACTGAGACAATGGCCTTATTACACTGGTCTGGAACCCAAACCGCAATATCCCTGAGATGTGCCTGTTCCTCTTAACGGGAGCCAGCAGAGCCCCTCAGTTCCCAGAATCCCTTTCTGACCCGGGGAGTCAGCAGCAGCCCGCGTCCTCTGCTCTGCTAAGAGGGGTTGTTCGTCCGGGGGCATCTCTTTTTCCCAAGTATTTGAACTTCTGGGCATAAAAGCTAGAAAGTGTTGCAGCCTCCTAGTTTCCACAGTCAGCTGTGTCCCTTGCCTTCAATGGCAAGAGAGAAAAACAAAACAAAACACGGAAAGAGGAAAAAGACCTGACTTTGTGACCTCAGAATTGTATCCCAGATTTAGAACCCTGGTATCTGCATATGTGCATTATCTCTTCTAATGACTAAATGCTCTTTAAAGACAAAGATTTGTCTTGTCCTTTTTTTAAAACCCATACTCCTTCCTTCAGTTTTTCACATAGGAATCAAGGCCTTGAAAATTTACAAATCAAAAATAAAAGAGGTTTACAGTAAAAACATATACTCACTGCCTAAATTCTATTGATACTACTAACATTTTACTATTCTTGTTTTAATTACTAATCTATCCAATCTATTTATCTACCTATTTCTGCAGGGTAGGCTTATTAAAGCTCGAAGATGCAAATGTTATTAGCCATTTGCACCTGAGTGTGAATGCGTTACAGTTCTTTTTCCTGAGTACACATCTAGACGGAGAAGAAGAAAACAGCCAGGTATCCACGAGGCAAGAACGGTCTAGGTGTGAAACTTAGACACCTCCGGGCAGCAAAATAAACTTCACTTTGTCCACATTTGTGCCACTGAATGCGGCCGCATCCCTTTTCATTCCCGTGCGTTCACGGTAGTTCTGCACAAACACACCAGGATTTCGTTTTCCCCTGCGTGCTCACGCACCACCTCGCTGCGCCGTAAGCAGTGGCACCTGTGCCGCTCGCCCCAGCACTCAGGCAGGGGCCCACCTCCTGTTGAACTTCCATGAATATAAAACATGAGCAAGACTTCCAGGTGCCCACTCCCAACTGCCTGAAGCGCACAGATGTGAAAATAAAAGCAAAAATGCTCCCATCGCCTCTAAAGCCCCAGGGGGCTCCTAGCAATTCTTCAAGTCCTGAATCAACTGCTCCCCAATCTCTGAAGGCTTTAGACTTTCCTCAATAAATCAGTACCAAAATCTTTCTTATCTATCTACTCATAAGACTGTGATTAAAAACATAGCATAGGGTTTGTCGCCAGACCACCTGTATGCAGACCCAGATTCACTGCATCACCTTGAACAAGCTGTGTGATTATCCCACCCTCAGTTTCATCGTTTGTAAAACGGGGTGCATATATACGCTTCACATATGCATCATCATAGATACACATAATATACATTTCACAAACACTCGGTCAATGTTGCTGCTCTCATACAGGGGTGGGCAAAAGTGGGTTTACCGTTGTGAGCATGCAGAACAGAGTTAATCTTGGATGACTATGCATTAACTGTTGTATTATGTATGTATCTATTTCCATTGTAAACCTACTTTTGACCACCCCCGTATACACCTTCCACGAGGTGTTCTCGTGGGAGGGATAGAGCAGTGAACAAAGAGGCAGGTGGCCCCTGCCCCCCAGGTGCTTACAGCCTCCCCCACTCCTTTCCCCAAATTATAATGAACACGAATAATTGTCACCACGTTGACTTAAAGTCCCTGCGGTCTGACTGCCCGTTGTGACTGTGTCTGGAATGTCTGCATTAGCGACACCACTCCGTTGGGTCATCCTCTCCCCAAAGCCCATCTCCGCCCCCAGGCCGGCGGGCCGCTGACGCGGAGACCAGCTGTGAGCTCCTTACCTTGGCGTTCCAGCCCCAGCTTTTGGGGACTGTCCTCGAGGACCACAGGAGGGAGCTCTGTGCTGGTCGGCGCTGCCAAGGGCAGAGGGTCGTCTGTCCGGAGCCGCGCAGAGCCGCCAGGCTCCCTCGCCTCCGCGTGGCCTCAGTCTCCCCCGCGCGCCCCTCCACAGCCAGCAGCCGATGGTCGGCTCCCAGCTCGACCCCTTCCCCTCTCCTCTCGACTTCCTCTCAGAAATCCGAAAGATGAATCGAGGTCCCGAACCTTGGTTTTCTGTTTAATTGCTTAGATTTCTTCCCCTGGCTATATTTACATAAAGTCTCAGGACTGAGAGGTCCGGCTGCTCACGCCTGCGTCCCCCAGCCCCCAGAGTGAATTCTCCCACCAGATTGGCCAGCTCCCCAGGGCGCCCGAATTATCGCAAAGGGGGAACACTCGTGGTTAATTACGTCTCCTTTTAACAATAAGCAGCTGCCAGGCATCAGTTGTGGGAGTAGGAGGAGCAGGAGGAGCAGGAGGAGCACGGGGAGGGCGCCTGGGCGCCGTTCCGGGCGCTCTGGGAGGACTGCACATTGCTGAGGCCAAGGGCCAAAAGGACGCGCGACTTTCTGGGTCTGCTCCCCTCCCACCACGCACGGCCCCCCAAATTCCACTGATAGTTCAGGAGGTAGCTGTAAAATCAGAATTTTTTTTTTTTTTTTTTTTTTACTGGAGACCAAGGGTGCCCCTACAAGATAGACTCTGTCATCTTCCCGTTGGCTTCTCCTTGACCACTTCTGGCAGAGAACTTCCCTCAATTCACCAGGAATGACGCTGTACAGAAAGATTCCGCTTTGTGTGCGATCAATAACAGAGCAGGCACGTCTTCTCAGAAGGTGGAAGAGCTCTGGGCCACTTCCTTTTAAAGCTCTGAACATACTTTTAAAAGGAAGGTGTGCCAACACAGTTACAGAAATTTTCATTGTGGTCTAATTTGAAGATCCTTTTATAAATCAGCGCTGTTGGCAGGCATGCACTGATGCGAATGTGTATAAGCTCATCTGGAGATAACACCAAAAGGCCACCTGTGAGGCCTCTGATGAACTTGAGGCCAGAACCAAATGGCCCTTCTGCTCCTCCCCCACCCTGAGATGAACTCTGCGGCCACGAATGTGCAGGAATGGAGAGCAAGCAGGCTGGAGGGGGTCGGGCGCTGGGAGTTCAGCCTGTACCAAAGGTAAGTGAGGTGTAAACAGAAGTCCATCCGAGAACCAGGATCGTTTTCTGTCTCAGTGTGGATACATCACCTTCTTCACGCCTCTTTGCCCATCTGTAAGCTGAATAATGTTGGAAGAGGCAATAAGGAGGACAAAGATGGAAACAGATCTAAAAAAGATGCCATGGGTGGCAAGCAGGAATGCATTACTGAATACACCCTAAAAATGTTTCCTTCCTCCCTCCCTCCCTCCTCTCTGTATTGGAATCAAAATGCTTTAACAAGCAGTTGGCTAGGAACATCATTCATTCCAAAAAAGGAGTTTAGTTTTTTCCTGTCTTGGGGATTTATTAAAATCTTGGGATTCCATGCCTCATCCACATTTCCTTGTGGTTTCTCTTTATGCATAAACATCAAAAAAGTTGTGGCTTGTTACATAAACTGCAAAAGCCTAATGTGTCTATTCATTACAAGGAGCCCTGCACAGCTTAACAAGCAAATTAATTAGACAATGCAAGTCAAAAAACAGTTTTGAAATGTTAATTATATCTAACAAAATCACTTCATTTTTAGAGTTCTGAAAAATGCCTTTCTGATATCTTGTCATTGCTCATGTTCTCCACACCTGGTACTAGAAAGAAAAAAAAGCATTCTCTCGGCCTATGCTCCCGCCTCTGCCTCACACCCTCCACAGTGAATCACACCCAGAGGAAACCATCAAGATTGCGAATTGTTTAGCTCTCCAACCTTGAGCTGTGTGCACTGCTTCTGGGGCAACACAGTTGCCTGTCATTCAACCAGCCTGGATGGATGAATTTCTTAAGGAGCCGCCCCAGGGGCCTTCTCTATTGGCTGTTCTCTTAGACCCTAGTGCTCTTTCTCTGCCCAGAGTGGTCACTTGTCAATAGGTCTGCCCTGCCTGGGGAAGCAAGCCCTCACACCCTCTCGTTGTGTGCGGGTCCCCTTCCTGGAGGAGAGCTTAGAAAGGTCGGGAGCAGTCATTCCTAGCATCCAGCCCATCCTGCACTTTTCACAAAAGGCACCCTTTCTCCAGGATTCCGACAACTTTGACCAAGCCCTCCCCTGGGTCCCCAGGGAGGGAGAGTGACCCCAGTCAGCAATCCTTACTGCTTGCTAAGGGCTGCATTCCCCTCCTGAGTCAGCGCATGCCTACTAGGACACCCTGCATTCATTCTTCTCATTGTTCCCTCCAGCCCAGAAGCTGAGCAGCTGCAGATAGTGGGATCTGAGAGGGCTGTGTCAGAGCTGGCTGCTGAGGGTGGGGGGAGGTGAAAAGCCCAAGGGTTTTGTTTTCCTTTAAGACACAGGAATTCAGGCCCTACTTGTCCATATGTGGTGAGTGTCATTCTCTAAGTCTCTAGAGCAGGCAGACATCTGGGATTTGCTTTCAAGTTTTTAAAAATTAGGACCCTGACTTTGGTGCCTTAGTTTCCCCTTTCTAAAAAAGGCAAAAACATTTGGGTTAAATAAAAGCTAAGTCCACAGGCCAAGATGGAGGCATACCTCTCTGCAAAACCAAATTTAAGGACAACAAAGATTTAGAAACAAAAACACAACCAAAACAGACAGAAAATTTAACTGTACGAAAGTTCGACAACAACCAACCATTATTCCAGACCAGTAAGAAGGGCAGAGTTGGTGGCCAGTGGAGAGGGATCCCAGCAAAAAAAGGTGGTGGTTGGCAACCCAAGTGTGGGGAGGAAACCAGCAAACCCAGTGAGGCACACAAGGCAGTTGGCTGACCGCGGACACACATTCGTGGGCAGGTAAACCAGGCAAAAAAAAAGGGACAGTGAGACAAACCGTGCAACCCAGGGCCCCAGCTCTGGGATATTAAGCCTAAAAGCACTGATTGAAAAACTTTCAGGGATTGAGGTGCCAGGAAAGACTCCCAGCCTCACAGGAGAGTTCATTGGAGAAACCCACAGGGTCCTAGAATGTACACAAGCTCACCTACCCAGGAACCAGCACCAGAAGGGCCCAATTTGCTTGTGGAAAGTGGCAGAGGGGACAGAAATCTGAGAGAGCTGAACAAGCGCCATTATTCCCTCTGACCCACATATAGTACCACAACTCAGTGACATGGTTGCCCCACCCTGGTGAACACCTTAGGCTTCGCACCTCAAATGTAACAGGCACAAGACAAAGAAAATGGCCCAAATGAAAGAACAGATCAAAGCTCCAGAAAAAATACAACTGAGCAATAAAGAGATAGCCTACCTAGCAGATGGACAGTTCAAAACACTGGTGATCAGGATGCTCACAGAACTGGTTGATTTTAGTCACAAATTAGATGAAAGAAATGAAGGCTATGCTAAGTGAAAAGAAGAGAAATGCACAGGGAACCAATAGTAAGGAAAAGAAAACTGGGACTCAAATCAATGGAGTGGACCAGAAGGAAGAAAGAAACAACCAAACAGAAAAGGATGAAGAAACAAGAATTCAAAATAATGAGGAGAGGCTTAGGAACCTCCAGGACATCTTTAAACATTCCAACATCCAAATTATAGGGGTACCAGAAGGGGAAGAGGAAGAGCAACAAGTAGAAAACTTATTTGAAAAATAATGAAGGAGAACTTCCCCAATCTGGCAAAGGAAATAAGCTTTCAGGAAGTCCAGGAAGCTCAGAGAGTCCCAAAGAAGGTGGACCCCAGGAGGAACACACCAAGGCACATCATAATTATCTTAGCCAAGATGAAAATGAAGGAGAGAATCCTAGAAGCAGCAAGAGATAAGGTGACAGTCACCTACAAAGGAGTTCCCATCAGACTGTCAGCTGATTTCTCAAAAGAGACCTTACAGGCAAGAAGGGGCTGGAAAGAAGTATTCCAAGTCATGAAAGGCAAGGACCTACATCCAAGATTGCTCTATCCAGCAAAGCTTTCATTTAGAGTGGAAGGGCAGATAAAGCACTTCTCAGTTCAAGTTCAAGGAGTTCATCATCACCAAGTCCTTATTATATGAAATGTTAAAGGGCCTTACCTAATAAAAAGAAGATAAAAAATATGAACAGTGAAAGGACAGCAAACTCACAGTTATTAACAACCACATCTAAAACAAAAGCAAACCACGCAAACAACTAAAACAGGAGCAGAACCATAGAAATGGAGATCATATGGAGGGTTAGCAACAGGAGAGTGGGAGAAGGAGAAGGGGGGAGAAGATACAAAGAATAAGTAGCGTAAATGGTGGGGAGAACATAGACAGGGGGAGGGCAAGAATAATATGGGAAATGTAGAAGCTAAAGAACTTATGACACATGGACATGAACTAAAGGGGAGAATGTGGGGGGAAGATACAGGGTGGAGGGGAATGAAGGGGGAAAATGGGACAACTATAATGGCATAGTAAATAAAATATATTAAAAACCAAAACAAACAAAAAAACCCTAAGTCCAGATTTCCTTTCGAGAACCCCTGAGAACCTGGCGTACCCCACCCTTCTCACACGTCTAATCTCAGGATGTCCGCCCCATCTCTTTTATTTCTCCCTTCTTGCTGCCTCTCCAACAAAACACCTCCTGTTACCTTACTCAATAGCTTCTCAGTTGTTTTTCCTTTTTTAGCACTCCTGGACCCAATTCTAACCTTGGCACTATGTCTGTCAGCTTCAGACAGGAGCCGCTAGTGAAGAAAACCTGGGACAACACTGAAGAGAGGGCTCTCCACTAGAGTCTTTCAAAGGCCAAGGGCATCCCCAGGCCACTCCGAGTAGCTGAAGCTCCCAAGATACTTTTTAAAATTCTCACCAGAGGACATGCTTATTGATTTTGGAGAAGTGGGAAGGGAAGGAGAGAGAGGGAGAGAAACATCAATTTGAGAGAGAAACATGGATCAGTTGCCTCTCCTACTCTCTGACAGGGATCAAAGCACAACCTAGGCATGTGCCTTGACTGGGAATCAAACCCGAAACCTTTCAGTTTGCAGGACTAC